TCGTGGGCTCCATGTCTGCACACAGCTAGAAGATGGCAAGTGTCTTTCCCACGTGTGGGTCAGGAGTAGAGGTAAAATCCCTGTCCAGCAGCCTGCAGGCCTGGACCTCAGGGGTGGGTAACATTAAAAAATTCCCTCTCTCCCCATACAGCCCTAATATAAGACCTGGCCAAACCTACTTTAACATGGCTCAACATACCCAGATGCCTAAAGGAGCCACACTAGCCTCAGATAAAAAAGGAGCAAGCAAGAAGCCACATCCTTCCAGGCAGGGCCTGCTGCTTCCTTTACGTGCATCTCCTTCAGGGTCAGCCTGCTACCCACACAAAGGCCTCGGGATGTCCCCAGCCCATAGGATGGCGCTGAAGCCAGCCAGAGTGAAAGAAGAGGCATCACTGACCTTCAGGGCTCCGATTAGACAAAGGGCTTACAACAAAGGAAGCGGGTCTTATCTCTGGCTCGGGACACACTGTCCGGTTCACTGGTCCCAACAACGCATTTTATCTTCGGGAGATCCCAGCATACCACACAGCGAGCCCTATTGAGTGCTGATGGTGCATAAAGGACACAGACTGTCATGGCTCTGAGGCTGAGATCTAACGAGTTTGCGCCCTGCCCCTCTGTTTGGTGAAGAGGAGAAATCCTCGTCCTGCTGGGGGACGCAGCCAGGAGCTGACTGCTATGCATGATGGATTCCAGGTGTGCAGGACAATGCATGTTCCCTTCAGGGCTGCACGAGCAGTTTGAAATGTGTACTACACTGGCTTCTCCCCATCTCTCCTGTACAGGAGGCCCCCTCCCACTCGCAGATGTGCCATTACATTCGCCAGGATTGCTAACCCAGCCTGGGAGCAAATCCAATATTTACCCACCTAGGGATCAATTTGACCCAGAGGGTTTAGTTAGACTGGTGCCCAGTTAAAGCCCATAAAATGGTGAAAACCTGCCAGAGACAGCAGGAAAGGATCCATCCTATGCCAGGATGCTATAGCCCTCCACACGCTGGCTCACAGCAGAGGCTGCCCCAGGCATTGTCCTGGCTTGTGGCGCAGAGTACAGTGACCACACTGGTCTGTGCTCAGTTCCCAGCCGG